AGGCCGGTATTCATAGTCCGTTCTTATATTCAAGATCGTCTTAAGTACGATCTTAAGATACTATGCGGCCATTTCATTGGTTGAATGGGATCTTAAGACGACCCAAGACCACACTTAAGACGATCTTGGATATAAGAACGGACTATGAATACCGGCCATAGTATATCTAGACCGAGTGTTGAGGAGTGGGATCCGAGGTGCACGTAGAAAAGGACATACTCTGTTTCGTGCCCCTTGCGTTCTCTCTCGCTCGCACGTAGCATGACGAAAGAGAGCGCTATGCTATGTGCGAGCGAGAGGGAACGCAAGGAGCACGAAACAGAGTATGTCCTTTTCTACGTGCGTCTTTACCCCCACTCCTTAAATAAAGGCAAACGCTCGGTCTAGATATACTATGTCTATGGATCAAACAATGCCATAGCAACGAATTAAAAGCAACTTTGTGTCCTTGTGATAAAGAAAAATATATAGGAAGAATAAATGATTACACAATAGTTGATCGATAATGTGTATTTTATATTCTTTGAATATTACACTCTTAACAGTGATTATATAAATGTTTACATATGTTATTTTACAAATATAATTAATAAGTTTTTAGAGAATATCTTTTATAAACTTTATATAATTAAAAAAAATTAATTTTCTCTTTCATAAATTATAGGAAATACACATATGAATTCATATACATATATAATTCATGTAAGTGTTCCAAAAGTCCCGGAACGGTCAAATATATCGAAAATAAAGCATTTTTGAGAAAAATGTTTCAAATAAAAATTGTAAGTGGCACATATTAAATAGCATTGTTAAAGTAATATAAAAATCACTTTCGGGTAATACTAATACTGGCGATACTGTACTTTTCAAGCTTCATAACTCGGAAAATACTTAATGGAAAGGAATTTTATTATAGTGTTTTGAAAAGATAAGCTTAAGATAAGTTTAAGATTAGTTACAAGAATATGCAATCAAAAATAGGAGTTTTCATTTAAAAATCTCAAAGTGACTTTACGTGGTCTTAACAATGCTACTTAAAGTCATATTAATATATCACTGCTTAATGCGCCACTTAAAACCCTACAACTTTTATTTGAAACGTTTTCCTCAAAGATGCTTTATTTTCGAGATATTTGACCGTTCGAACTTTCGGGACATCCCGTATATTGTGTGTGATTGAACTAGAAAATATTTTTTATTACTTATAGATTATTTGTATTTGCTAATACATAATTAATTTACCTTTGATTGTACTATTATATAAATTAAGATCAATAGATTATTCAGTTCATATATCATAATTATTTACATTTAAATTATTATTAATAGTGAAATCTTATAATAGCATATCGCAGAATATCGCATAACATCCCCTCATCATCAACAACTGCTACAATAAAAGAATTTTCTTCATAATTTATATATGTAGCTTAAAAGAGAAATCTCGAAATTTCTTCAATTATTTAATCTATGTAATGGCTTAAAATAGCCATTTCCAGAAGAGCCTAGATGTTCGGGCCAACTTTGATGTAATGAAATATTCCTACAAGTTTGATTAGGTAACATATCCTCTGGACATACACACTCCAGCTTTATTCTGTATATTGTCGTTTGACCAAGTGCAATTTTGGTATTTTCTCTATCCATTGATTCTTGATATAATTTATAATTAATACCTCGATCGGATAAACATTCGCTGATAATATCATCATCTTTTTTGTACTGGAGTTTATTCTCTGATAATGCTTTTTTTCTATGAATGCATTTTAGATCCACTTGTGACAAAATTAGAGACACCTCGGATGATGGCAGCCAGAATGTAGAGAAGACTAGATCTACCGAAGTTTTTCTTTTGGATTCGGCGATGGATGGTAACAAAATACCAGTTGGTGATTGTCTCCGAATACCATTAATATTGTTCGATTGATTGCCGTTAGTTTCATATTTTCGTTTAATTCTTCGCCTCTGTTGTATTTTATAATTTTTGTCCTTTATAGATGATAATATCGAAGATTGTTTTTTGTTAATTTTACTTTGATTTTTTAATGATTCCCGTTTAAATACTTTTTCTATATTAATATCATCATCTGCGTCTTGGACAATATTTGGAAAACTATGCTTGTAAATCTGTTTTTGCTGTATCATACCTACAACTTTGGAAGTTGTAGCTTGATGACCAGTGATTACTTGGTTTGTAATATTGGATGCTTCGGTATATGTGACTTTCGGCATCTTAAAATCGAAATTTGTATTATTTGCTCTGATTGATTCGCTTGTAATTACTGATGTATTTAATGCACTATGTACTGTAATAGTTTTTACGATATTTGACCTATCATTCAATATAGTTGATATATTTTCTTCAAGTTTTAGAGTTGATATATTTGCCATTGATATATTCATTACATCAATTTTGCTCATTGAATCATTTCCTTTATTAATTTTTTCCATTCCTTTTTTCTTTTTTACGTTAATATCCTCGTTATTCAATCGCGAATGACGTTGTATTAATTCAGAAGATATTAAATTATCGTTAATTTTTTTAGAAATATATTCTCCATAAGAAATATTTATAAAATATGGATCTTTAATTTCAGCACTCCTCTGCTCTCGCACTTCAGCTTGCAGATAATCTGTATTTTGTTCCTCATCTTCATTGTTACTGTTATCATTTCTGTAAAGACCATTATACTCTTTATTCAATTGTACATTATCTTCTGTCCATTTATTATTATTTTGTTTCCATGCTCGATCGTTGTCCAAATTTTCTATGACATCGTCCTCAACAAAACCATGTTTCTTGTGATTTTTGAATTCGTCGACATTTTCGTCGTATACCGTATCCGAATCGTATTTGCCGATCTCCGCGAGTAGATTATCTTTATACTTGAAGATACTTTCTTTCTGATGATTTTTATAGTCTTTTGATGATCGCTCGGAAACCAGCGGTATGTTCGCATAAGTATCCATGATTTCGAATCGATGATGGGCATCCAAAAATTTTTCCGCCTCTTTTCTTGGATCAATCGAACTATTAAACTCCAATGATTTCCAATTCTCGGAGAAATACAACGATATTCCGGGTGGGCCAACGTGTTGACTCAGAGCCAGTAGCCTCATAGTGAGCGTCGAATTAAATCTTAACCGGCAAAGGTCAGCGCGCGTTTGCGACGCGAGACTTTGACCTTTCAGAAACTGATATTTCTCTTTGATTCCCTCGTAGTTTAAACAGTCGGCAGACCAATGCAAGAACCAATCATTACCGAATCCATCAACAGTGACCGATAATCCAGACATTTGCCTACTCAAGCTATCCTCTATCGGTTTTTCGAGCAAAGGTTGTCCATTACGACCATCTATGATTGTAGCCACGGTATAATAATACGTGGGGAAACCAGCACCTATCTGATGCTTTATCATAAAGTCTGGTATATTATCGTCATTGTAATAACCAGGAATTGGAATGCTAATTACTTCAGAATTAGGGACTGTGTAATTCCAGATAGGTTCAAATGTTGATCCATTGTATGCCATAATTGTAGAATTGAACATAGCTGCCACAATATCTTCGATTCCGTCTGATGTAATATCTATCAAAATCGGTGGTAAGAGCGCACCTTTTCCCGTATTATGATGAAGTTTTCGTAATTGCTGTAACAAAAGCGATTAAAAATGAGTTCAATAATCTTCTCATATCACAACTTGATACAGATTTTATTGTATTTGATTACATACCAAATCACCGTAAAACATGTTAGCTTGGGATACTATGTATAATCCTCCAGCTTGTTGTTGACTACTTGTAGCTAGAACAAATATATTTTCTCCATCGGACTGTACCATAATTTGCGGTGCTATGAACAGTTGTTCTGTGTCTGGTAAATTAACTTTGCGTATAATATCTCCACTTCTTCCCGATATTATAAGTACATTACTTGCTCGGACGTCGTCCGATTGCATGGCATGTGACGCTATTACATCACCAATACCATCGCCGTCCATATCCGTTATAAATCTAGCATCATAAATATCTAAAATTCTTTGTTGCTGTGGAGATGCAACTGTATCTTGAATCGGTATTTCCCATATATTAGAACCATCACGACCGTTAATAGCTTGCAGAATCCCACCACGCCCAGATATGATACAATCTTTAATTTTGTCGTTTGTCAAATCCACACCGCAATCAATGGAAAATATGGCATGGGCAGTCCAATGTGTCCAAATGGTTTCGCCCGTTTTACCATTCAACGCTAATACGCCGCCTAGACATGGTGTTTGATTACCAAAATATAAAGTACAGATATATTCCGGAGCATCCATTGTATCCAGACCTAAATTTATAAATTAATAAGTGTTACATTATGAGTTCAGTTAAACTATTGATGTCAACATAAAACAATGTTAATTATTCACCTTAGATGTTGTAACAAACATCATGTAACTGTGAAATCAAAATCTGAAAAAAAAGTAAACAAAATAAAAATAGCAAATTGCAAATCACAATGCAATCTAATATATACAGGGTGTAGAAAAATTAGATCGACAAATTTTGAAGGGAAGTAGAGGACTTCAAAATAAACATTTTTTGTTAATACTATTTTTTTCTCCGACGTTTAGTTTTAATACTACGTGGTATGAAATAGGAGTTTGTGACTTAAACAATAAGATCATGTCAGTCAATTATATCTGTGTATCGCTAATAATAAACAAATCACATGCAACTTGTCAACACACTAAAGACCTCTGCTCTATTGAAGGTTTGATTGTAAGACCAAAACGGAACGTTGCAGAGAGAAATATCATTAACAAAAAATGTTTATTTTCGAGTCCTCCATTTCTCTTCAAAGTTTGTCGGTCTAATTTTTTAACATCCTATATATTTCAAACAGATATATAGGAATGGTTTATTTTTTCGTAATATAGAGCATTCAAACGCGATTATTCATAAAACATAATAAAAAGATCATACATATCTCGCGGGATTTCAAGATAAAATATTCGAGGTATATATGTACATTCTCGAGCCGGTTCTCTTGTATAACGAGCCACTGTTAATTAATCATTCACATAATTTACAAGCACTCGCTCGAATACGCACGAGTATACATCCACAGAAGCGTAATCTCATCGCATGGTGTGCGTCGGTTTAATTCCCGCTCATTGACAGAGAACGGATCACACTAAAGACCTCTGCTCTATTGAAGGTTTGATTGTAAGACCAAAACGGAACGTTGCAGAGAGAAATATCATTAACAAAAAATGTTTATTTTCGAGTCTTCTATTTTCCTCCCTTTAAAGTTTGTTGGTCTAATTTTTTTACACTCTGTATAATGGCAGAAAATAAACTCCAATTTAAAAAAATATTAAAATATACAATCAATATAGCAAAACATGCATTTAATAAAATAAAATAAAAATAAACATTTTGGTTAAAGATATACCTGTACTAAATCCCACAATAATATCCTCAATTCCATCAAAATTAACATCATTACTTCTTAGAGGTGCTTCAGAAGTTAACTTTGGCAATGATTTAGTCCATAAAATTTTTGATGAGAGTGATGTACATGGTATTATTTCTGACTTGTTTATAGAGATGTCTTTTAGTTCATGTGTCAACCAATTTTTCAATATAGTTAATGGCATCGGGAATATATTCACAGTGAATATACAAAGTATGATTAAACCTAATACTACAATTAATGCTGTAATTCCATAACACAGCGGCATAAAAAGTGCCTTGTATGGTAATTTATGGGTCTGAAAGCTACACGATTTCTTGCATTTTCTACGAGGTGGCATAAGAGGCCGCTTAACACCACCATCATCATCTAACTTCAATCCAATGTTTCTTCCATCTCTAATAAATACCTCATCTTCAATATCAGTGAGATCATCATCGTCAATGCTATCTCTCACTGCCAATTTTGGATATACCATTGACATATTGTTTTATTTATGTATATATATATATATATATATATATATCTAAAAAAATTTTTTTAATTTAAGATTACAAAAAATGGCAACTTAAGCAATTACATAATGAATTATAATAGTAAGATCTAAACATCGCCAAAAATTTTGCGGATTTACAAACATATGTATACAATTGGGCGTGTAATTTTAATATAATATATGTACCTTTTTTAGATGTACCTTTAAAGAAATACCGCTCTACAGTACTTGATAATTAAGAAGTATGAAATATAATAATTAAATGAAATATCAAAATTATCAGCAATCAGCAACAAATATTTATGTAGATATCAACTATTACAATCTTCGGGACATTAACAAGGTACTATCAGAGAGAAACATAGATATATTACCATAGACCATAGACATAGTATATCTAGACCGAGTGTTGAGGAGTGGGAGCCGAGGTGCACGTAGAAAAGGACATACTCTGTTTCGTGCCCCTTGCGTTCTCTCTTGCTCGCACGTAGCAAGATGAAAGAGAGCGCTATGCTCTGTGCGAGCGAGAGAGAACACAAGGGGCACGAAACAGAGTAAGGGCCCAGGCACATAAAAAAACTTAAGCAGTAAGACTTAAGACTTAAGAATTTCAACCATACGGAATTTTCAGCGTAGCTTACGTTTCAATATGGCTGCCTTACTGTTCGACCGTGATTGGTCAATTCGCTTACGTCTTAAGTCTTACTGCTTAAGTTTTTCATGTGCCACGGCCCTTAAGACGTAAGCGAATTGACCAATCACGGTCGAACAGTAAGGCAGCCATATTGAAACGTAAGTAAGCCTTAAATTGACCAATCACGATCAAGTATGAGGAGAATACTCGACTGTGATTAGTCAATTTCTTAAGGCTTAGAGCTTAAATCACTATTGTAGACCGGCACTTATGTGCCACGGCCCTAAGTCCTTTTCTACGTGTATCTTTACCCCCACTCCTTAAATAAAGGCAAACGCTCGGTCTAGGACTAGATCATAGACATAGTATATCTAGACCGAGTGTTGAGGATTGGGGGCCGAGGTGCTCTATGCCATAGACATAGTATATCAAGACCACTGATCTATACAATGAGTAAGGGCCACCGCACAAGCTTTTCCATAACACGTTAGTGCCGGTCCACAATAGGTGATTTAAACCCTAAGCCTTAAGAAATTGACTAATCACAGTCGAGTATTCTCTTCATACTTGACTGTGATTAGTCAATTTCTTAAGGCTTAAGGCTTAAATCACTTATTGTAGACCGGCACTAAAGCTTAGGGCTTAAGGGCCAATTTCACCAAGCTCGGTTAGATTAACCGACGGTTAAAATTAGCAGGATTCCAACTGAAATGATAAGAATGCTTGGTTTTCCTTCACCTCTATTTTCTGTTGGCCATCCTGCTAATTTTTAAGATTATTAGGTTTAGGTTTAGAATCAATACTTAACGTAACGTAAAGCCCGTATCAGACTATGCATTGAGATTGAAATTTGACCAATTTGACCAATGAAATTTTAGTCCCATTTGTTCTGATTAATCAAATTTCAATCCTTAATCTTCAATCTTCAATTTTCAATGCGTAGT